TTTCCCTAATTACTAATGATGTTGAACACTTTTTAAGATGTTTCTTAGCTATCTTCGTTTCTTCTTTTGAGAATTCTCTATTCAGATCTTTCACCCATCTTTTAATTGGGACATTTGTTTTCATCATCATCATCATCATCATGTTTTGTGAGTTCGTTATATATTCTGGATATTAAACCTCTGTCAGATCTGTTGCTGGTGAAGATTTTCTCCCATTCTGTGGGTTTTCGCTTCACTTCCCTGGTTGCCTCCTTTGATGTACAGATTTTTAGTTTAATGAGGTCCCATTTGTTGATTCTTGACCTTGTCTCCTAAGCAATTGCTCTCCGATTTAGAAAATCCTTTCCCACACCTAATCTTGGAGGGTTTTGCCAATGTTTTCTTCTAACACTTTCAGAGTTTCAGGCTTTACATTGAGGTCTTTGATCTATTCGGAATTGACTTTTGTGCAAGGTGAAAGACAGAGGTTTAGTTTCATTCCTCTACAGATGGAGATCCAGTTTTGCCAGCACCATTTGCTGAACATGCTATACTGTCTTTCCTCCAGTGAATGTTCTTGGCACCTTTGTCAAATATCAGGTTTCTGAAATTGCATGTACTCATATTTGGGTCTTCAATTTTGTTCCATTGATCTATGGGTCTAATTTTGTGCCAGTACCATGTTGTTTTTATGACTACAGCTCTGTAATACAGCTTAAAATCTGGTATAGTAATCCCCTGCCGCCCCCCCCCCGCATTGCTCTTAGTGGATCTTTTTTTTAAAAAAAAAAATCCATTACTCCCTTCAGCTTATGGGGGATGTAGTTAGACTAACTCGTGGATGTGTACTGCCCTCTAAAGGCTGCTGAAGAATCTGCAATGTGACCTGCAAGGGCAGCTCTGTAGCCCAGGCATCCAGTAGGAGGCACCTGTGGCATGAGGCTCAGTGTTGCAGCAAGCTCACCCTGCAACAGCTTTATCACACCTTCAAAATACCCTCTACAACTTAGGTTTAGACCTGATGTGGCTCTATTCTAAGGTGGAGTGACCAAAGGATCTATGTGATCTATTTTTTCAAGGCTTTGGATTTAAAAGACGCATTAAGAATCAGGCTTTTCTTAATGTTTTCAGCATCTAATCACCCTCATGGTGCTCTTCCTAATGTGGTTCCTCATATACACACTAATTTGAAACAATTATTATTTACATTATTAAGCCTAAATTATCTATTATCTTAATTAGTAAAGACTGAACTGCTACTAACCAATGTGTTTTATTGCCAACCATGTCAGAGAATTAACATTTCTATCAGAACCCAGTGTCTAAACATCACTTTTCACTCAATAAGTAGGTGAATATCTTTTTCACCAACCCTACCACAAACAAATGGAAATGCAGCCTGGGCCAGACTTGAGGAGGATCTTACTGTGTAAGTCTCACCCAGCTCCTCATGAGACAGTGCGTTCTTTTTCCTCAAGAATCTAAGAGGCCAACTGTATCTGTGATGGATGGGAGAGAAGACTGGGAAGAACACAAGCTCATCCACCCACACTGTCAGCTTCATCTTGTGAAATGGGAATTTAACTGTAACTAGCAGCAATATTTAAGCTAACTAACTCTAACAAATTACTCTGGTGTTAACTTTGTGTTTGAAAAGCCAGAAGGCAGATATTAAAAACAAAAACAAAGCAAAGAAACAAAATCTGCTACTACCCAGAACTGGCAAAGGAAGAATCTCACATCCGAGATGAATGTAGTCCTCCCAGCAGACCGTCAGCAAACCTCTCATTCCCTGCCAGCCCCTTCCCCCCTGCAAATACTTGTGCTGTGCAATGGGGCTGGTCATTATTTTGATGAACACTATTAAAACACTCTGAAGTGGTGACTGACCAGAAGATTTGCTAGTTGTTATCTCCAAGAACAAAACCCATCACTGATTCTTCAATGAAGAGAGAAAAGGGCAGAGTCAGGCTCTGCCAAGCATGTGTTCGAATCAGAAAAGTGCACCCCAGCCAGCAATGGGCCCGCTGTTCCAGCTCAGAAAGTCAAAAGGAGGAGTGACACACGGTCTTGGAACAACCTGGAGTGGGTCTAAACCCACAGTAAGCAGCTGGTTTGAAGTACGCCATTAAGAACCTGCTCCTGGCAGTTCTGAAGAGAACACAGAGGAAGGCAGGCTGCAGGCAAAGCAGCCTCAGCAGCAAACAGCCAGCAGCATCAGTGAGGATACCTGTGACACATGGGGAGAGACCAGGGAAGGGTGGTATGGGTGGCCAAGAGTCCTGCCTCATGTGACAGCCTCTCAAAGACAGCCCACTCACTATGTCAGCCTAATATGATAAGCAAGGGAGCTCAACTGAAGGCAATGTTCATGGCCATAGCCACTACTGACAACTTAGGAAAAATGGTCCCCTTTATACCCTCTCAACCACCAACAACTGCACAGCAGCACCCACACCATGGTAAGAAGTGCTGTGGCCCTGTGGTCATACTGGATTGAGTGGTTCCCCACCTCCTGAAGCTTGCTGTGTGCATTACTGCTTGGACCTTTGGTAGCTGTTTAGATTAGCTTACAACCTAGCAAAGAAGCAGGATAATGAACAACTGCTCCTCTTATTTATAGTAATTAATTTTACTGATCAAAAGGCATATTCAGTTTAGTTGTTCTTTATTAGAGATTTACTAAAATGTTTTCATAATGGTTTTGACCAAATCAATTTCAATACAATGAATTCAAAATTATTCATAATTGAAGTCATTCAATATTATAATATTAACATAATCTTGACTATTTAATGCCCAAGTGCTTTTACTGTATTTCTAAATTGTAAAATATAAAACATTTCCACATCCTGGATTATGGTCAAAAGAAAAATTAAAGGAGTTCTCAAAAGGAATATAATTAAGACAGTAAGTGAATTTTAAATAAACCAGGGACTTACTAAATTACTTTTCTTCCTTAAAAATTGATGATTTAAAAAAATGGACCTTTAGTCCCAGCACTAGGGAGGCAGAGACAAGCAGATCTCTGTGAGACTGAGGTTAGCCTGGTCTACACAGCAAGTTCCAAGCCAACTGGGGCTATAGGGGGACCCTGTCTCAAAAACAAAGCAAAAAAAAAATTAAACTAGGTACTGGAGAGATGGCTCAACAGTTAAGAGTACTTGCTGCTCTTGCAGAAAACAGGGTTCAGTTTCTGGCACCCACATGGCAGCTCACAAAGTCTGTAACTCCAATTCCAAGGGATCTGTTGCCCTCTTTTGGCTTCCCTAGACATTGCAGGCATATTACAAGCAGGCAAAACATTTAAACACATAAAATTTTTTGAAAAAATTAAACTACACATGGGGCTAGAGAGATGGCTCAGTGGTTAAGAGAAATGGCTGCTCTTGGAGAGGACCTAGGCTCGGTTCCCAGCATCTAAATGGTGGTTAACAACCACTCCTAACTCCACTTTCAGGAGATCCGATGCCCTCTTCTAACCTCCACAGGCATTGCATAACATGGGTGTACTTACATACATGAAGGCAATGTACTCATAGACATAAAATAAAAATAATAAAATATTTAATAAATAAATAATGAATTGAACTACACCTATGAACACTCGTGAAAAGCAAATGTGCTTTTAAAAAAAAACTTCAGGGTCTGAAAAAACAATCCAGCATGACTCAATTTTCTCTTATTCACCACTGAAATCAAGGCACACAATAATAAAATGAGCCTTTCCATATAAAACAAGCTCAGAAGCACTGAGTCCTTTCAGCTCAGTTAGTCTAAACAGGCTTCGAGCTCTGCTGCGCAACCTGACAGTGGCAGCATTGCAGGTGTAGGTTTTACCTGGCATGTTCCTCAGGAGCTTCGCATTGCACATGTGCCCCTTCCGTATGTCGGTGAGGATATACTCCATGCGCTTGGCTCGCCACAGAAAGTTAAACACCCTCAGGTAATGGCTCATGCACTCTCGTGTAAACACCTAGAGAAACAGAAGACAGGCCATGACTCTTATGCAAAGAATCTCCTAGCCGGGTCCCTAGCCTTCCACAAATCAGCAAACACACAACTCCAGTACATTCTATGTGGTAGACAAGTAACTGAACTAGCACATTTCAGAAGGATCACACTAACAACCGTCACCTCATCATAAGCAGGGCAGACTCACAACAGCATAGGGAAGGTCTTCCTATGAAGCCCTGCATGTGCAGAGGCAGGGGTGAAAGAGGTAGGACTAAGACAGCTTCCGGGACATTAATTAAACCCAGCCCATGCCAATCTAAACTTGGACTCTTGACTGTGACCCCCCCAACTTCTGAAGGACACAGGCAAAGAAGAACCTGCTTCAGTGACAACAGCTCTAACGGCTGGGGCAGGTGCCTAGCAGTCTCAACTCTGAGGGGTCCTTCAGGTCACTGTCTCAGGCTTACTGACTGCTTCTGAATACTTCTACTCAATACCCTGGACATGGTTTTCCAAGCATGTAATGAGCCTGGCATAGACACCTTGCCAAGCCTTCCCATGCTGGCCAAGTTTCACAAATGAAAATACAAGTTTTGCAAGTAAACTTGAACATCAGGTAAACCACAAGTAACTTTTTTAGTTTAAGTAGTGTCTGACAGAAACAAATGGGTTTCTGCAAACTGCAGTCAAATATATTTCATTCGGACACTAATGTGGGGGGCATGTGTCCATCCACCACTATGACAATGGCACAGAGAGGCCCTGCCTACCACCATTTTCACCCTTTGCCACAGCTACATGCACTGACTCTGTACAGGCCCTGCCTTCAGGATGGGGATGAGGCCAGGCTCTGCTCTGAGGGAGCTCTCATTCCCTAGAACCTTGCCTTGTCCGTGTCTGTCCTGTGGCCTTTACATGTGATCCTGCAGTGCTCATCCTACCTTCTCACCTATTCAAACCCTACCTGCCCTCCAGAAGAGGGACATACCCCCACGCTAGTCTCCTAGATACCTAGAACTTTATCCTGGATTCTTACACTTTAGCACAGAACTCTTAACTGCACACTGTCTTATCTCATGTTCTTTTCTGTATATCTCGTGCGTCTTGTGGTTAGGACTGTCTATTCATTCTCCTGTATGCCGCTCAGTGCCAGGCTCTGGAAGTTACTCAATGATGACAGATGAACAAATATATACACAAGAGAGACCAGAACTGCTCTGAGGTAACTCCAAATCAAATTCAAGAGTTTGAAAGATTAACTGTGTGCTGCTTGCTTCCCACACTATTAACAGTTCTCAGATTATAGAAATTACGTATGACCAGGATGGATGCTATGAGTACATTATAGGATTCTTCACTATACACAAGTACATCACAAAATGGGAGCCATGTTCTTGTAGCACATTTAAAATGACTTGATTTTTAAAAGTTCAGTCTAACCATGGCTCTTTGGTGCATTGGCTATCTAAAAGGAAGGCAGATTCATATTTCACTGCATTGACTTAGAAGACGTATTGTTCATACTGTAGCTTGCCAGATAACTTGTGGTGTGTTGCTAAACCTCTTAGCATAGACTAGTTAGGAGACACAAAGCAAGCTCTCAACATCTCATCTGCAATGAAGCCTTGGAGATCAACAGCAGCAATGAGTAGATCTCCAACCTGCTTGATGTCAGAATGGCAGTCCTGAGGATGCCCCATTCTCAGCCTCCCCTGCTGGCCTCAGGCCCCTGGCACATGGCACAGCCTCTCACTCTCCCAATCAACACACCTGCATCTGGAATCAAGGCTCAGGGATCTCACCACACTTAACATCTGGATGGATTTGGCGGGGCATGGTGGTGCACGCCTTTAATCCCAGTACTCGGGAGACAGAGGCAGGCAGATTCCTGTGAGTTCAAGGCCAGCCTGGTCTACATAGCAAGTTCCAGATATTTTACATGTTTAACAAATTGTGTATGGCTAATGCCTTTTTCAGTAACTTGGGTTGTGAATTTCACAATGTCCCAAATTAGACTTATATAAAAATTTCACTGACATTTTATATATCAGAATTAGTAGGAAGCTAACTAACACTGTTATTATACAAGATATAATTATATGATTGCTACAAGATACAGACCTACTATAATTAAAATTGTTTAAAAAAAAA